CTATTTTGAAAAGGAATGTTTTGGTTTTTATGTTAACAAAAGAAATGAATTTGTTGTTGGTGACCAAAATTTTAATATCAGATTAATTAGCAACTTTTTATGCAAGTAAAATAGAGGTAAAATAGACAAGTTAGGTCAATTATTAACTGTGTTAAAAGGTGAACTTAGATGGAAAAAACCATGAGAGTGATTGATAAGGAAAAAAAAGCATAGAGATATAAATGATAAAAGAGTAAACCACAAGGCAATTTCTGAACTTTTCCTTTATTAAAATGTTTCACCACTAACACATTTGTAATGACTTTTGTTGATAATACATTTGCACCGTTTTTTAGATCTTGATAATTTTGAACCATTAACTATAAGATTTGATATTGAAATAAGGCATAAAATGGAATATGTTATCCACGAGTATTATCAGGCGGATCAGGGGAGCACGTGGCAGAAAACCATCACCAATGAGCTAAGCTAGATCAACTACACCAAGTGAGTCTGACACCATATCACAACCCAAAACCTTAAGGCATTGGGTTCATGGACACTTATATACATTTCGCTTAACCCATTACCAACCAATGTGAGAATCATCATACTTAAATATCCCAACAATCTATCTCTCAAACTCAACATTTGTATGCTCCCCCTCAACCGTCCCCATGTCCAAGTACTCAACCCGCCTCTAGTCGCCAATCACTTGCCTAATTCGAGCCTAACCTGGCTCTGATACCACTAAGAAGCGGGGTCCAAGAGGAACCCGTGTTGGTGCTAAGGCTATACCATCATATCAAGTGGATCCGACACTATATCACAATCCAAAATCTTAAGGCATTCAGTTCAAGTGCTCTCCCACTTGTATGGACTTCACTTAGCTCATTAACAACCGATGTGGGACTCATCACACTTGAATACTCCAACAATCACCTTCTCAAGTGTGAAATCCACCATTGGTATATTCTCCCTCTCTCTGAGTACCCAGACCCAAAGTACTCAACCCGCCTCTAGCTGCCAATCATTTAGCTAACTCGAGCCCAATCGGGCTCTGATACCACTGTCGACTGGTGCAAGGGGAGTTCGTGGTGGGGGACCGTCACCAATGGGCTAAGCTAGATCAATAACACCAAGTGGGTCACAACCCAAAATCCTAAGGCATTGAGTTTATAGGTCCTCCCAGTTATATGGACTTCACTTAGCCCATTATCAATCAAAGTGAGAAACCCTACATTGATTTTCTCCCCCTAGTACTCTAGGTCCAAGTACTCAACTTGCCTCTAGCCAAACACCTGGTTAACCCGAGCCCAACCCAGCTCTGATATCTCTATCAGACAGGTCCATGAGGAGTCTGTGGCGAAGGACCACCACCAGTGGGTTAAGCTACACCAACAATAGTAAGTGGATCCGAGGAGTCTGTGGCAGAGGATCACCACCAGTGGGTTAAGCTACACCAACAATAGTAAGTGGATATGACACTATGTCACAATCCAAAATCTTAAGACATTGAGTTCAAGTGCCCTCCCACTTATATGAACATCACTTAGCCTATTACCAACCAATGTGAGACTCATCACACTTGAATACTCCAACAAGTATTAACCACTAATTTCATATTAAATATTTGAAAGTATAGTTAATAATATGTTTATGAAATATTAACAGCACACTCTTTTTAACACTTTTTTTATTATTTAAAGAAATTTCATATGGATTCATGAAATAACTTGAGCATATAAATGAGCACGAGATAAGATTTCACTTAATGAAAAAAATAAAAAAAGTTCAAAAAGGTTGTATCATTAATATTTTCTAAATGTTTAGTAGTTTATATTTGACTTTTTGACCCTTTTATCCCTTATTAATTAATTAATAATCATTTTGTTCCTTATCCAGAACTATACCAATCTGCTCCTCTTTAATCGATTAACTTGAATATTTAATCGATTAAATGGTTAAAATAGACAAAAATAATTGACTCTAGATTTAATCGATTAAACCTCCCTCTTTAATCGATTAAATCTCCCTTTATACATGAGAAAAAATGATAACCGCGGTTAATGGATTTTGACAAGTACATAATTCCTATAAAACCAGAGAATTGCACATTGACAAACCCGTTCTGCAATGCAGCAGGGATGAGTAGCACAGCCTCACTCACGGATTTTACAAGGGACAGAATCTTCAGGGATATGCAAAAGCTTGTCCATTGTTGCCATTTCCAGAGATGTTTGGGGCACACTAAACTGAAGATGAGGACAATGAATAAACATTTTGATAATTATAATTATAATTTGATTTAGTGTTGTTAATATATAAGAAAGTTTGTAGTTTTATATGTTGGAAGTATTTAAGTATGAGTTGTAATGAAGTATCACATTGGCTAGACTTAGACCAAGTGATGACTATATAAGTGCAAAAAGACCCATAAACCTACAGCCTTAAGGTTTTGGGTTAAAATGTGGTGTCGGCCCACTTATTGTGGTTTATCGCTTGGCCCATCGATGTATCCCTTGCAATGGGTTTTGGGCTCCTCGTACCATTCCCAACATTATAAGTAAGTACCTGAGATTCCAAGGCACCGAGGCAATGTAGAAAGTCAGGATCGTCGTTGATAATTTTATAATGCTTATTTGGGGGAGCAGAAAAAAATGATAGAATTGGAAGTGTCCCGGAGTTCAATTCCAAAGGCATAAGAATGAGTGGTTGTAGTATTAATATTGTCGAAAGCGGTGGGGTGGGTGTGAGAGAGAGCAAGAGAATCTTGGGTGGTGAAGAAGGTTTAATCGATTAAACAAGGAGATTTAATCGATTAAATCTGGAGTCAACTATCTTTGCTTATTTTGATCATTTAATCGATTAAATATTTAATTAATCGATTAAAAAGGAGCAGATTGATAGATAATTCTTGGTAAGGGGTAAAATGGTTATTAATTAATTAATGAAGGACAAAAGGGTCAAAAAGCCGTTTATATTTAGTAGGATACCTTTAAAAAAAATATTAAGTAATATTTGCTTTGAAAATAAAAAATATAAAAGAAACAAAGGAAAGAAGGATTCGACCAAGGCCCAATTTTCGACATCTTAGGCTGATGATTTTGTCACGTACATGAAATTGGACCAAGAATGTTCTGGGGCATGTCGTTCTCACATTGGGCACTAGTTGATGTTAACTTGGACTAACAATTTAGAAAAATCCACACTTCAATCGGTTCATAACAATGTCGATTTGAACGGTTTTTCTTTTTCTTTTTTTCAATGATGTTGCAAAATAATTAGGTGTTTGTATTTCTGATAGTCAGTTTTGTTTTTTGTTTTTATTTGATACACTAATAGTCAGTTTAGTACACCCTTAAAAAAGACGATAAAAAATTGAGGGATGAATTTTTCCTGCAATTTCCCGTGTAAAATTTCTTCACAAATTTTAGCTTCATTTTTTTTTTATCGGTTTGACAGTAACTGTAATAGTTTGATGTATATTACAAAAAAAATAGTTTGATGCATACCTTCACAAATAGGGAAAAAATTATTATGATTCCGGTATTTGTGGCCCTTCCAATAAGAATACAACATTTGTATTTAATTTTTCTTTTTCTTTTTTCCTTTTTTTCTCTATCCAACTTTTTCTTTTTTTCTCTCTCTTTTGGCCACCCAATAAAAAATGCTCCGAGCACTACATTTCCGCTCCACAAATAGGAGCTTGTTTGCTGTGCTCCCGGCACAAAACTCCTTTTTTAAATATAGAATGAAAAAAGGATGGAGAGAGAATTTGAAAAAAAGAGAAGAGTATAAATGAGATAAAATTTTACTCAAAATAAAAAAGGACCACAAAATAGAGATATGGACTTGGATCACTATAAAAAAATCCCACAAATAGGTGTGTTTGTACTTCTAATAGCCAGTTTAGTATACCTTAAAAAACAATGATAAGAAAATTCGGGATGAGTTTTTCAAACAATTTGTTTATTTTTTTAATAAATCATTTAGTATTCGACTGCCGTAATCCTAATTCATTTGAGCTTACATGATCACAAGCCCAGCAAAATTCAAACAGAACCATAAGGGTAGCCAAGAACTCTCTACTAAATTTTAACTCAACTGGAGGACTCAAACTCGTGACCATCAATTAAATTGAAATATACCAGTTAATCCATGGGCTGATAGTTTTTTATGCATTTTTTGATATAAAATTTCTTCATTAATTTAGCTTATTTTTTAAGTTTATTAAACTGACACTGATTATTAAACTGATCAATCATACACTAAATGGGCATCAATTCAATTATAAATCAGAGGTTTATGAGCAGAGTTCTCACCGTCTAATTACACAAACACGATACTACAATCAAATCAAAGGACTGTTAATGTTTGGTCTAAATTGAAAAGAAGAGGATACCAATTTAGGCTTCCGATTAATGAGATGTTAATAATTTCCGTCATTTCCAACTCGTAAGTCGTAAGCCGTAAGCGTAATCATATATACAACATTTTCCGCTCCGGCCTTCACCAATAAAAACCGAGCAACAATCAATGACTCCATCGACCACGTGTGCTACGAGATTAGAAACACGATTATCACAATAAGGTAAGGTATTGAATGTTTTTTTTTTTTTTTCCTCCACAAAAGTAAACAGGACTTATTCAAGAATGCACACCATAAACACCATAGTGTTAACGAGACAATAGAAATAAACCATTTCTCACCCTTCTGAAAGTTCAAAGTTCAAACCACCAATCAATAATAATACTAATAATCTATTTTGTACCTGTGACCTAACCTCAGAACCTTTTACCCAATGCCCATTCTCATACGTAAAGATCTTATGCGTATCATCAGGTCAAAGGTCAACAATTCCTTATTCCCAGTCCCACACTCCCCTTGGCGCGTGATAGAATTGAAACAGCACTTGTCTACCTTGATCGATCTCATCTCACCACACAAGTCCCCATCCATTGCACAGTATGAAGCAGAGTGGCTCTTGTTTTCATCAGTTTATTTCCCCAACACCAACTAGTACTACTAGTAGTGCTATCTCCCCAAAACAAAACCAAATCAAATCAAAACAAAACAAAAAAAGAAACAAAGAAGCAAAAAAAGAACTCTTATATTATTATATCTTCTCCATTACCACCGTCTTCCACACCGTTCCAGCATGGCACACCGCCCCTCCCAACGGCGGAACTTGGCAGCTCCAGAAACCAATCCACCGCTCACAGGTTCTGCTCCGGCTAAGCACCCCCACCCCAGACCCACCACCACTTTCATAGCTACACCTTCTCACCACCCAACACCAAACCCAGATCTCATCCAAGCTTGTAAGCCTTCTTCTTTGGCAAAACACTTCTCGAGCCTAAACTTGAGTCACAGAGCCCCTACACCCCATAAACAATCTCAAACCAAACATCCTCTTCTTGTTGACACACGTTTGCAGGCCAAAGCCATGACAACCTCTGCAATACTTGATTCCTCCAAATCTTTGCTCCTCAAACCGAATACCCACAACACCAAACTTGCACCAAAGTTTGGAAAAAAGAGTACTATGCCTGCAAAGAGACCTTACAAAGAGAAGCCCCAAAAGCCCAATTTAGAATTGGAAAACAGGAAAGTTCACGGCTTGATGAAGAATGAGAAGAAAGGAAATAGTAACAGGAGTTTGGTTGAGGATATTAAGATTGAAAATTCAAGGAATCATCTTGTGGAAGAACATGATGTTAGTAAAAGAGTGTCTTTTTCTCTGGCTCCTAGTATGGGTAGAAGAAGATCTTTGTGTGGGTCACAGATTGATTTAGGAGATGTCTTTGCAATCAATGGGGCAAAAATGGTTTCGGCTGATATGGCACCGTTTATGCAGATTCATGCTGTGGATTGTGCCAGAAAGGCTTTTGATAGTATGGAGAAGTTCACATCCAAGACCCTTGCATTATCCCTCAAGAAGGTAGAAAAAAAAAATCATATCTTTATGCTCATTCTATTCAATTGATTTTTGTTTTTTGCTGGATTAATTTCTTGGGTGTGTTTCAAAATTTGAGACTCTTGATTGGTCAATGAATTTGGCTGGGTTGTTGAAATTTTGCAGGAATTTGATGGGGTTTATGGGCCGGCATGGCACTGTATTGTGGGGACTAGTTTTGGGTCCTTTGTGACCCATTCGGTTGGAGGGTTTCTATATTTCTCCATAGACCAAAAATTATACATCCTCTTATTTAAGACCACTGTACAAAAAGCAGAGTGAATGAGGTGAATTCTGCAATAATCACAAGAATTTTGGTATACATTTATCTTAGAAATAAAAAGATTACGGTAGCAGCATCCTTTGTACATTACTTGTGCTTCAAGAATGTATCACCCTCATTGTTTCCGTCTAATTCTGATCTTCTTCCTGGACCTAAGTGGGTCTGAAGATGTCAATGCATTGTAACTAATGGGGTTGGTTAATAGAAAAACTCAACTTTACAAGCAAATGTGCCCCAATTGTTGTTGTATATCATCTGCATGTCTCTGTCTTTTTGTTTGGATAATTATTAGAATTATGTTTTTTTGAACTGTTTATATATCATGTTAATTTTAATTAATTGCTACAGAGTGTGCGGACATTTTATATTTATAACGACAAATTTCTGACTCACAATGATGATGTAAAAAGTGGTAATATTAGTAAAGTGGCTGTTTTATTTATGTTTGGAGCATAATATCGTCCAAGTTGTTTAATTAACCGCAAACTAACACGTGATATTGATTTAGTGTGTTAAAATATTTTAGTTGCTCTGTTACAATTTTCATCTAGTTGCTACTTTAATATTAGCATGACTACGAAAGATATGTCTGATACAATAAAAGAGTGTCCTTGACAATCTATATTATGTATTAGCCTTTTACCAAATAACATGTTGTATATATGTCAATTGGCTAAAGAATAAAAGGAAATCAATTGGGTATCTGTTCTGATAAGGCATTTCATTCGTGAAAGGTCACAGAGAGCGTGTATTCAGTAATAGTATTCTCACGTGTCTCTCACTCACTTCTCCTTGTCTTCAAAATTTGTACAATCATTCAATTTTCAAATAGATTTTGGGTCCATGGCATTCAATTTTAGGTTTGAATCCCCATTCTCATTCTTGTCCGTTTCTTATTTCTCTCTCGTGTGTGTGAGGAGCTAGAAATTTGAAACACGTCTTTTATTGCGTATATTAACTAAAATATATTTAAATCTCATATTTTTTCCATGGACACCGAATAAGCAGGAAAATGTGTTGGCAGCGTGGACAGTGGGGTTTGGTACTGCTTCACTTGATGTTGAACTATTATCTAGAGGATAAATCATTTGGGTGGATTCTATTAATTTCGTGAATCCCATTAAAGATTTAATGGCTAGGAGGATTGGAGTATTTTTCAATATAAAGAGCCGTGATAGTTTTACTTCCTTTTTTTTTTTTCCGTATTGTAAATTTAAACTTATAAACACCAAACAACATTTGTACTTTGTATAGAAATAATCAAATAATTGATGTGGTTTCGGCAAGAAATTGGATTACAAGGAAACATGGCGGTTATATTTGTACTTTGCAGAGCGTTGTTTTCTATTGAGAAAGTTTGTGAAGAACGACTAGAATTTAAAAAGCGTCGCAAGATCTTCTACATGTGCGTGTTCCTTGTTACTCGTTTGAGAACTCGTTTTGTTCATGAGTATACCCAACCCAAAGATACCCTACAAACCAAACTCTATGGCACTTCCTCAAGGACTCCCTAAGGCCCTACAACCCTATGGTCCATCCCAGTCCCTTGTATAGTTGTATTATAATCAAAAGTTTGCTTACATTTTTTTTTTGGAGTTATCCAACCCTAATTATCTCTTTGAGACGAGTTGGTTTGGTATCCCCACGAGCTTCGACTCTTTGCGCCGGCTATGGGACTAATCCAGAGTGCGGGAGAACAGTGATGGCTAAAGGTTCAGCCCCTTCCCCAAGAATGCATTCAGCGGGAATCGAACACATATCTAACCCCACTAACTCAGCGCCAAGTTACCAGCACCCATTGGGTGCTTACATTTTTATTTTAACAGTACTTCCATATAAACTGTGTATTAAAAAAAAAACCTACATGTTCATGTGATTTTTGAAATTTGTAAATAAATTCTTATATTACAAAAACTAAAAATTTCTTTTATAATTTAATACTTTTTCCGATGGGATTCCTATAAGGTCTTCAGAATAAACTGAATCTAGGAACAATATTTTTTTTAAAAAATAGAACCTGTACAAACTCACTTATAATTTTAAGATTATAAGGACCGACTTAAAAAATACAACCACATAAATTTAACCAAAGAAAATATCATTACACAACACTGAACAAAGTGCACAAACGTGTGTGGGCGTGCAGAACGGCAAATGGGTGGGTACTTTTATTTTCTGGGCTTTTTTTGGGTCAGAGTAGAAAGTTGACCCCAAATACACTGGGCTTCCTTGACGAAAGACGGTGTCACAAAAATAGAGGTATGGGCTTTATTTTAGTTTCGGGCTGACGCTATTCTGACTCAAGGTCTCCCTTCCATAATCGGTTTCAGTCACACCACCACTTAAGAATGGACATAGATATTAGATAGAAGTGTTTTCCAAGTTTCTAACCAAATAGGTTCTAATAAATTTCTACTTCCAAAACGGTTATAAGTAAATTGTAAGAGATATACATGTGAAGCGTAACTTAATGGGTATCTCCCTTAATCTTTATTTTCAGTGATGTGGCTTTCTTGTGGGGTTCACCGGTTCAGTCCCTCCCAACATGCTTATAAAAATTGTAAAAGATATTTAGTCTACCCAACTCATTGTTATGGCCTGGGTACTGCGCTTAAGGTATTCATTGGTTATCCATCAATTCATTATTTATCTTTTAAAAATAACGGGATATCAATGATAGCCATAGGCCCTAGGCCCAATAGAGAACGGCCCAACTAATTGTAGTTATATTCAGTTAGATAATTAAGTTAGTTAGTATCCTAACAAACTTGTATCTGTTAGTTAACAATATCTATTATATATAAATTGTATCACAGACTCACAATCAATTAATCAAGATTTACATTTTCCAGAATCTCTCTCTCTGTTCTATCTTTTCTCTCTTCGCTCTATTCTTTATCTTCTTGATCTTTGATACCTTTCATGGTATCAGAGCTATTTGATCCATGGAGACCAACACGCCTGCGCCAAGTTCAATTCACACATTCTCCAATCCAGTATCTTTCAAACTGGATGAAAACAATTTTTTACCATGGAAACAGCAAGCTCTAGCCACAATCAGAGGCTATGACTTGAACAAATTCATCACACAAGATACTCAAGAAACTGTATCTGTTGAAGCAAATGCATCAATGCAGAAAGTGGATCTGGCAATCGAGATTCGGCTTCAGATATTCAGAAAGCACGTTATGCTCAAAAAGACCAGCTCCTTCTGTCATGGCTATTATCTTCCATGTCAGAATCGATTTACACACGTATGGTTGGTTGCACTAACTCATTCCAAGTTTGGAGTAAACTTGAAGAAATTTTCTCATCACAAACACGAGCCAAAGTTAAACAGCTCAAGTTACAACTAAAGAACACCAAGAAAGATGGTGAAGTATCCAAGTATTTGCTACAAATCAAGAAAGTTGTAGATTCGTTAGCTTCTTGTGGTTCTGCTGTTAGTTCAGAAGATCACATTGATGCGATCTTGGATGGATTAAATGAAGATTATGATTCCTTTGTCACTTCGGTTATTTCAAGATCTGATCCATACACTGTAGGAGAATTGAAGCGCTCCTCATGGCTCAAGAGCAGAGATTTGAGAAACACAAGAAAAATCTTGCTGGAAACTTTCAAGCCAACACAGCTCAGCTGCAGTTCAGAAGGCAACCGAATTCATCTGCATACAGGGGAAATTTCAACAGAGGGAGAAACTATGGAAGTTTTCATAGAGGAGGTAACAGAAGTTACAGAGGAGGAGGAGGCAGATTCAACTCGTTCAACTCCTATCACAACAACAACTCCTCCTATAACAAGCCTCAATGCCAAGAGTGTGGCAGAACTGGTCATCTAGCTCTAGACTGTTATCAAAGATTCAATCAGAATTTCCAAGGCCAACCTAAACCAAACACTAATCCCAATCTGGAAGCCAACTTAACAGAAACAAACCCTGCTAATACAAACCAACCAAGTGATGATAGCTCTGACTATTTCTCCCTTACAGACTCCAGCTGGTATCCTAATTCTGGAGCCACAAACCATTTTACACCAGATGCCACCAACCTGATTCACAAAGCCACATACAGTGGTCAAGATACAATGCAAGTAGGTAATGGATCTAACCTAAGAATTAAAAATGTAGGTCATTCAGTTCTCTACTCTCCCATCAATTCAGAATATTATACACTATCAAATCTTTTACATGTCTCAGGTTTATCTAAAAACTTGCTCAATGTCTCTCAATTTGCAAAAGAGCACAATGTGTTTTTCGAATTTTATGCTGACTTCTGTTTTGTTAAATCACAGGCTACCAAGGAGATCCTTCTCCAAGGCAAGCTTAAAAATGGCCTCTATGCCTTTGATGGAGCACAACCACTTCCTAGATTCTGTGTTGCTGGAAGTCCTCCAAGCTTTCATAATTCTGTTTCATGTAATAACACTTCTAGTGCTACAACTTTAGATCTTTGGCACTCTAGATTAGCTTATGCTTCAATTCAAACTGTAAAGTTGGTTCTTAGGCATTGTAATATACCCTACATCAATAAAAATGAGTCTAAACTGTGTTGTGCATGTTGTATGGAAAAAATGCATCAACTTCATCTACCTAAATCAACAACTGTCTATACTAGTCCCTTGGACCTTATCCTCACAGATATTTGGGGTCCTGCACCCACAGAAAGCACTTCGGGCGCTAAGTATTATATCCTCTTCATTGATGCCTTTTCCAATTATACTTGGATTTTTCCCATGATTAACAGGTCTCAAGCATATGACATTTTTGTTCAATTCCAAACCATGATTGAGCTACAACTAAACAAGAAAATTAAATCCCTTCAAACAGACAATGGAAAAGAATATTTGAAATTCACATCCTACCTACAAAAACAAGGTATCATCCATAGACTTACATGCCCTTATACCCATCAACAAAATGGAAAACCAGAAAGAAAGCATAGACATGTGGTAGAAACAGGTTTAGCTCTCCTAGCTCACTCTCACTTACCAAACAAATTTTGGGAGGATTCCTTCCTCACTGCCACACATGTCATCAATCAGCTTCCAACTCCTACCCTTAATCACAAATCTCCTTTTGAAATTCTGTATCAAAGAATTCCCGATTACCATTTCCTCAAAACCTTTGGATGTGCTTGTTACCCATATCTTAGACCCTATAACAGGCATAAAATGGATTTTCGATCTGCCAAATGCACATTCATAGGATACAGTTCTCAACATAAGGGGTACAAATGCCTAAGTCCAACTGGTCATGTATTCTTTGCCAGACATGTCTTATTTGATGAGCTTCAGTTTCCCTATTCTACACAACCTTCTTCTGTCTCTCATTGTCCAACTTCCACTTCACATTCAACCCCAATTATACCTTTAGTTCAAAGTGTACCCTCACCAC